GTATTGATTTCACCCCCTTTGCGTACCCCTGGCTGTTTCCGTTCCCCAACCGAACAGTGTCTCTGGTCATCGAGCCAAGACACGAGATCGCGACGGGGGTTACATTTCTTTACGCGTTCCGTGATCTCTCGCATCCGCTGTTTGAACGACATCATCGATCTCGAGAAAAGTATTCGAATGACACGTTTGTGAATCTTTCCACACAACTCGGTCGCCGAGAGAGAGGGCGAGAACGTGCATCGCAAAGTGAACGAAAAACGTGGGGAATCAGACTCGAGAGAAGAGAGGAAGACAGAAGGAGGACACTTGGCAGAAGAAGAGAAAAAACAGAAAGAGAGGAGAGGAGAGGAGAAAAGATGGAGCGCAGAACGAGCGCGCAGGCGCTCGCGGGTACGCTTGCGCGCTCGTTGCCGCAATTCGCGATAAATTGGTCGCGAAGGGAGTTAGGATTACCTTTGGTTCGGAAGCGGAAGTCTTCATTTTCTTCGGAGGTGGAGGACTGGCCGCGGTATCCATGGCGTCGTCGGGCGTTGTGGTGATCGGAGGTCCGGTACCGGGTACCGTGGCGAGTTTCGTCTGTTCGGGTTTGGCAGCCGGACCGGCGGCGGTCGCGCTGGCTGGACTCGGGGGTGGACAAGGCGCCGCGGCGGAGTTGGCCGGTGGACCAGGCCCCTGGGACACCGAGAATCCAGTCCGCGAGCTCGGCGGCGGTCCCTGATTCTGCTGGGGGGCGGTCGCGGCTGCCGGCGGTCCCTGAGATTGCGCGACCGCCCCAGCCCCGGTGGCTCCGGCTCCAACCCCAACACCAGCGCCCAAGCCTGGCCCTGGCCCAGGCCCTGGACCCGGCCCCGGTCCGTTCGACGTCTGACCCTGTCCACCGCTACCGCCGCCACCGCCACCACTGCTGCTACCTCCGCTGGATCCACCACCGCCACCGCCACCACCGCCGCCGCCACCGCCACCCAGTCTCGCGGTCCCATTCATCTCTGATTTGCTCTGCTGGCTGACCGAGTGATTGCTCTGCGGCTTCTCGTGCTTGTCTCGCGCCTTATCCCGACGGTGTCCGCTCGATCCTCTCTTAGAGCCGGCAGTTGAAGAGGACGTGCTACCAGTTCCGCTTGCAGAACCTCCGGAATGACTTGGCTTTGACTTATTAGACGACGAAGACGACGACGACGACGAGGAGGACGAGGATGACTGACCACCGGTACCACTGCCACCGCCAACACCTCCACTACCACTGCCGGTACCTCCGCCGCCGGATCCGGGCCCGGCGACGCCACCAGTTCCACCGGCACCGACGCCACAGCCGCCGGCACTGCTGCCACCGACACCGGCACCGCTGCCGCCACCGCCGCTACAACCACCACCACCACCACCACCACCACTGCCACCGACACCGACACCGACACCGACACCAACACCTCCGCCACCGCTGGCCCCACCGGTTCCAGTTCCACCGGTTCCACCCGTAGCGCAGTCCGAGTTTTGAGCGTTCTGACCGACAACCGAAGCCGAGCCGATCGACGACGAGGAACTCGTGCCACCCGACCGATCCGACACCGACGAACCACTCGAGGATAGGGAACCGGCGCCACCGTTCCCGCTATCCTGCGACGACATCGTTCCATTGATTTCGTTCGATTTGACGATCTCGTGTTTCGCCTCGCTGCTCTTCGTGCCCGGTTTCGTACGTTTGATCTTCATTTTCAGTCCTTTGTCGACGGTGGCCGAATGTTCAACGGCCATTTTGCCCGGATTACCAGGATTCCCGTGCGCGGCGTTAACGCTACTACCTACCACCACGGCGTTACTACTCTGTTTACCAACGGTGCCCGCGACGATCGCCGAGGAACCGTTCGCGTTTCCAGTACCGTTGCTACCGACGTTATTCACGATGCTTCCGTTCCCGTTCGCGGGACTGTTCGATCGTCCAGTTGAATTTAACACGCAGGCCGAGCTCACGGATGACAATGTGGACGACGACACGGTCGACGAGGACGAACACGAGGATGACGACGACGACGACGACGACGACGACGACGA